AAATACCACCAAAAGCCAAGTTCGAGCTGAAAATAAACTGATGTTCTATTGGGAAGCTAAGCTCTCTTTGAGAGTGTACTTACACTGTAAAAAGCCCTACCCAATACAATGCCAATTAATCAAAGCTCTCAAGTAAGTGTTGCTTCTATCTCCTGGGGCTGGTATCTAAAACCCCCAATGCACACAGAAGGAAAGCAGTCTGTCAGTAGCAAGAGAAAAGGAAAGTCTGTGTGGTTGTCCCAAGACAATCGAGAGCAGAACAGAAAGGAGGCAGAGGGTCCCTGGCAGCTGAGACCTAGGGGAGGCACCAGTAGAAATCAGCAGTGCCACAAGTACTGGTTAACACATAATTGAAAATAGATAGTAGCCATTAGCTTCTGAGTAAAATATGATTACACCCATTTAACAACAAGAAAAACAGGAGAGCCCAGAACTTAAGCCACCTGTCCCAAGAGTGCAGCGCAGCTGTGAAGGAAAGCGGACTCAATCCAGAATGCCGGGGCTTGGAGCCTGGCTTGGTTCTGCTTAGCTGCTATACATCGGGCAATGTCACTAACCTCAGCGCCTCAAGTTGTCTCACTCGTAAAATAGGGATAATTATAGTATTGACTTCAAAAGGTGGTTACGAAGACTGAAACAGTTAAGAGGCATAAAGCCTTTAGAACAGCTCTTGGCACACAGCAATCAGTGAGTTTTAGCTTTTATTAACAGGGTGAAACTGGGACTAAGACCTTCCGACTCCCAGTCAATACCAATGTTCTACTGTATCCCATTCATTTCCCGGGACCCTAAATGCTGCCTTTATATCTAGGTCAGGGTAGCCGAAGACTACCATTCAGCTCCCTGCCTTTACCCAGGGATCTCTAAACTCTGAGACCCCAAAGCTGCAGTAGAGAATTCAGAGGTGCTTTCCAGCATCCTGGGAAGGGGGCACCCAGCTCTGAGCCCAAGATTTCCCTGGGCTCTCAATGGGCTGAGAGGAGTTTGCAGGCCAACAACCCATCCACTAAGACACTGGCTCCCCCTCAGCTTCCTGAGGTCTACCTCCTTCCTTGCTTCCCCAGGCCTCTATGCTCCCAGAGGGAACCTCTACTGTTTTCTGGGACACCCACCACTCATGACCTTGCACGACTGTCATGGCCAAGGCTTCTGCATGCCTCGTGGAGGAAACTCTGCATAGCTTCTTCTAGTGCACTGTATGGCTCACAGTCACACCGTGCATCGGCGTGCAGACAAGACTGCCTCGCAAGGGCCAAGATTCCCACCCATGTGAAAGCCCCTCCAGGTATCTCGAGTACAGCAAACGTCAAATAATTGGTCAAGCGGAACATGTCACGTTTTACCAAGTTGGGATAAGCTAGGTTCCTGGCTTTTCCAAACTTCTAATTATTCAGTTTTATGAGCCTTGACAGTTTGTTGTGGATTTTTTTTTTTTGTCTTTATTTGCTGCTATTTGTATAAGGATCAGTGTGCACTTTGTAGAGAGCATCAGAATTTCTGAGTTTGACAATGAGCTCTGGCATGCCTGCTGTCTAAGTGGCAGTAATCTTGAATTCAGTTTTAGGTGCAATCAGGACAGGGTCCTTTGGCAATGGAAACAAGGGGATAAAAGCAAACTGTTAACCCTTTTTTAATTAAAAGTTCTTAAAAGTTAAACAAAGCCACCAACCCATCAACCAAATAATTTACAGGATTGTTAATCTGGTTTAAAAAAGCCTGGGAGACTAGTTTGAATACTACCGCTAACTCATCTGGGGCAAGTCCTGTCTCTTTTCTGGGCTTCAATTTCCTTCCCTGTGAAACAGAAGGCCAGATCAGACATCTAAGATGGCTCACTACTGACTGTCTGAAACTTCTGTTCTCTATTTAATGCTCTGGGTAGGACTTTTTGGTCTTTGTTCAGAGAGAAAGGAAGGACATAAGACACAGAAGTCTATCTAAGTGGAGAAGATGAAGAACTGCATTAAGAAGTCCCCTTACCCCTTTTTTGATATTGGTTTATTCATACATAATTTTTTAAAACTAGAGGAATGCCTTCTGGTGGAGTTGATACTTGGAGAGGGGGGAGGAGAAAGGAGACAGACAACCATTCTCTATTTGTTCTCTATTTGGCCAAACTGTGAAATAAATAGCAGTCTCTTCTCTACCTATTCATGTGTTCCTAGGCCCCCTTCTTTCAAAGCCCACCTTCTCTGCTAACTTCTGGCTAACTCCTGATTCTCATTCTTGTTAATATGTACAACACAGAACAAAGCCATTAATGAGCCAACTTGCCTTTTCTTCCATGACCTTGATTAGCATTTGAGTCTTCTACGTGTCCTCAAACTTCAAATTAATTCCTTTGGGACAAAGAGTTTTTTTTTTTCCTCTGCAAATACCACCATAGGGACCTCAGTAAAAGTTTGTGGATTTGGTTCATTGAGACTTTAAGGCAGATTAACACTTTTCAGTCTATTCAAAATTATCCTAAATTGCAGGAGTCGGGGCAAGAGGTGACCGCATCTGTTTACAGACAGAGCTGAACCAGATTACTTGCAAACTAGAAGGAATCTGCCCCGGCGGCATATCAGGATTGCTAAATTTTGGAAGCTGAAGTCAGGAAAACTTAACCTGGAGTAATTTGGATATTTGTTCTCCACTTTAATACTGATAGCAAAAAGCTTAACGCCTATTAACTGCTTGTTAACTTTACACTTGACACGTAAATCTGAATATCAGTTTATAAGCAGAGGCAACATGCATCGTCTTTACTGCTCTCTCCCTAAGCCCAGAATACTAACTGACCCATAGTAGAGGCTCATATATTTAAGACTCCAAATAACTAAAAGGGACATATTAAGTATGTGGGCTAAAGCAAAATACTTCGTTTCTTTTAGGCCTCAGTTTTAGTTCACAAAGGGAGGAAGAAAATACCAGTGTTTCTGTCAACTTGGCGCTGCCTACAGTACAGGAAACAGAATGTGTTCCATGGTCAAGTTTGGGAAACTTGAACAGGAACATTGTGAATTTCGAAGGGGATGACAGTGGAAGAAGATTCAAAACGTAGCCTGAACTTACTGAAGCAGCAAATTTCTCCTCATCTGGAGCACTTGTTGACATTCCCAGGCTGCACAGCAACCCTATGACAGAGGAACCCTCACCCTATTAGTAAAGGAATGCTCCCCACAGGTTTGAAACAACTTGTCCCATGCAGTCAGCTGAGACAAACTATGACTAAAAGTGAGTCTAACCCCAAAGCCTGTGTTATGCTGCCACTGTTTACTGCGGAGTTTTGACAAATTCTACAAGTGAGGAAAGTTTGAACAGTATACGTAGGGACACAAAGCAAAGACTTCCAACCCAGGTTGAAGTTTCAAAACTGGTATCAATGAGCTGAGGATAGAAGAGGATCCTTTGGAAAAGCAAACTCCTACATCCCAAGGCAGTCATGTAAGTTGGAAGTCCAGACCATTCATTAACCACAGAAAAGACAGTCTGAGAGTGAAGTGAAGAGCCTGTAGAATACAGGTAAGCTGAAAGAATCTCCTGGAAAGTCTTTTCAAAACAAATATATTTACCCTGGAGAGAGGGTGGGCTTTTCAGGATGGATGGGGCAGGGATGGGCATAAAAAGTAGAAGCCTATTTTGAAAAAGGACCCCGGGTAATATTGAGCATGTCCTCAGTCCGCTGTCAAACAACTGACCTGAAACAGGACCAGGAGTTCTCTTGGGATGGGCCTGGAGGATCTTATAGTCAGGCAAAAGCTCCAAACAAAACGCCCTATCCAACCCCACCCCAAATCCTACCTGCTCTTACTAAGGTCAGATCTAGATCATCCTTTGGGGAGGGAGGAAACCATTACACCTTTTAAAAGGATTGAGGCCTTGAATCAAGACAGATCTGAGTTCACATCGCTTAAGCTATGAAAAATTGTAAACAAACCAGGAGTACAACCATACCTCCCTTACAAGCTGATTAACCTTCATCAACTTAGGTTCGTTCACCTCTAAACCTTAGTTTCTCCACTTATAGAAAGAGAAGAGGATTTACTTTTCAAGTTATACCTCAAGTCACTCTGTAAGAGATCAAGGGCAGAGCTGGGTCTCAGATTAGCAACTTCTCCCCTGAGGAAGTCTCCTCAGGCCTTCCTAGTCCACTGGCTCTCTCTTCTATGAACAGACCCTTGGCTACTTGTAGTTTGAACAAGGCACGTGAGCACTCAGGATGCACACACTCCCTAACTGCAGTTAAAACCCCGAAACCAGGACTAGCCCTCCCAGGACTGCAAAATCCCCTTGCTTCACTGAGCCCCATCGTCCCTATAAATAAAACCACTTGGAAGCCAGCCTCAGAGGGTGGCTGTAAAAGGGAAGAAAAAGATGTTAGGTGTGTTGTGTGACAGCTCTCGACCCACCTGTGGAGTTATTATTCTGCAGGCCCCTAGAGGACCTAGGCTGAAAACTGCCGGTTTGCTTGACTGCCCTGGGATGAAGGGCTGGTGGGGGGGGGGGTCTCAGAGGAAAAGGAAGACCAGGAAACAAGAGTTAGCCGGGTGGAGTCGGAGGGTGTCAGGATTTTTGGAACCAGACAGGGAGCGGGTGTGGGTGGGTCCAGCAAAGTTTTTTTGTTTGCTTTGGGAGGGAAACAGAAGAGGCCCTAGAGTGTGAGGGGGCTCGGCAGTTCTTCCACCGACTCTGAACCCAACGCCCTCCACTCCCAAGTCCGACCTTAAAAGTGCTACACGTTTCATAGTAATGGTTCACACTTACGGAGCACTTCCTACGACAATGGTTAGCACTTAATGAGCCCTTGTTATTAAAATACCAGCTAACATTAGTGCCGGGGACTAATCATGGATCCGGAGAAGAGAGGGCGGCCCGAATATCTGCCCCGGAAAGGAGGGTGTGTCGGGTCCAGGGCGACAGAACCGGGACCAGGGTCTAGGGGTCAGTTTGGGCCGAGCCCAGAAGATTCGTGGGTCCAGGCCATGCGTGGCCAGGGCGGCCCTCGGCATTCCTACCTTTGAGCGAGGTTTCCACCAGGCGCAGGTAAAGCTGTGAGCTCTTGTTGCCGTGGCTCATGCGCTGGGCTAGCCCGTTGCGCTGCAGGACGCACTCCTCAAACTGCACGACGTTTTGGTGGCGCCGCTTGAGGCTGGTCAGGGCCCAGAATTCGGCTAGCGCCAGCTCCACGTTCTCGGGGGCGTCGCAGCGGATCTTCTTGACCGCCACCCGGGCCCCGCTGCGCCCGGCCACTGCCTCGTACACCACGCCGTAGCTGCCGCGCCCGATCTCCGCCAAAAGGCTGTAGCGCGGCCGCGCCGACCCGCCGCCGCCCTCCGGCCGCCGCCGCGCCAGGTAGGCCTCGCCCGGGGCCTCGGCCGCCACCGGATCCATGGCCTGGGCCACAGCCGCCGGCCTCAGCTTCGCGCTGAGCGCCCGCGGCACTGGGCTTCGCCTTTTCCGCTCGGGGCTTTGTGTACCTCTGCGGGCGCCGTCCTCCTCCCCCGTTTCCATGGCTGCGGGCGGCGGGGGGAGCAGCAACGGCGCTGCCCGGGACCCCCCTGCCTCATCCCTCCGTCCGGCCCCGGGACGCGGAGGAGCGGGACCCTGGATTGTGACCTGCGGGCGAAAGAATCGGTTAAACGACCAGGCCAAGGCCGGGAGGCAAGCAGCGCAGGCCTCAGGGCGTCCCACCACCTCCTCCGGCCACCACGGCCCCTTTAAGACGGAAGGCACGGCTGCTGACTGAACGGGGGAGGGGAGGGGAAAGCGGGAAAGACGAAACCACGGGGCACTGGCTCAGAGGGGGAGCCGGAAAGAAAAGCAGAAACTCCCCGCCTTTTCAGTTAACTTATTGTATAGCAATACGAGAAACAAGGACTCGCAGCTTTCGTGACTTATGAAAATCGCCCTTAAGAAGAAATTCGGACTGTGGAGATCTTTTTTCCGCTTGGCTCCCTCTGGGATGCCCCTCCCCGCGTCCCGCCCTGTGTTCTCCCGGGTGTAAACAGTCCATTGAATTAAGCCGGAGCGGAGCCCAGCGGACCGACCCAAGTCCCGCCGGGCTGCGGGTGTAAGGGGTTGGCTTGAAAGTCTGGAGTCCCTGAGCGCGCCCAACCGGGGGCCCAACTGCCCTCCCCAGACGCCCGAGGCGGCGGGCGTAGTTCCAGTTTGGGTGCTAGCTTTCACTCCGCGGACCGCGCCCTTACCTGGCCTGCGCCCTTCCACTTCCGGGCAGCGCGTTTCCCCTCTAAGGCCCCCAGCTGGGGGTGGTCCGCTCCGGGCCACGGCTGCTTCGGGTACCTAGCCGGGCGAGAGACCGTGGCCCGGGTCGGGCGTGCGACAGAGCCTGTTGCTGTACGGGTGACGGCAGCGGTGCTCTCGAGGGACAACTGGGCGTCAGGGCTCCCGCGGCTCTCCACGTGTTCGCGCCAGCTGAGCCCTTTACGTAACCTTTTTATATAAGCCGCACGTCCCGCCCGCACTCGGGCCAGCGGGGGCTCCTGGTGGCCCATCCCCCGGGAGGCCAGCCGAGTACTGCGCCGCCGGGGTCCTGCCAAGGTCGGCCGACCAGTAGCAGCCGGGTGAGCCCACGCGGGGCCGGGGCCCAATCACAGGCGAGAACACCCAACCAACAAAAAACTGGCGCCAAATTCCCGCGATCGGGCAGCGGCCTCCGGTCTCCGCAGCCGCCTGCGCACCGCAACCTCCTCTCTTCCTTGCCTGCGCTGCATGAAGAGGAGCTGTACCCAGTAGGCCCTAATAAATACTGATTGGTTGATTGGATTGGTCGGTTTAATTGATTCATAGGTCTTGCCTGGGAACCGCCCGCACTGGGATGGAATCCACGCCCAGTCTCCTGTTAAGCCCCTTGATCCTGGGCAAAACATTGCCCCACTTGGAGCCTCAGTTTCCCCTTCTGAAAAATGGGTAGACTCGGCCTTGCCTCCCAGGGTTGATAGCCCCAAATAAAAAATATATATATTATATAAAATATTAATATATATATAAATATTAATATATAAATATTTAGATTTTGATATAAATCTGAAGTGGCTAATTGGGTGCAGGGCTGAGAGTGCTGAATGTAAGCTCCATTTAGACATGAATCTTTAAATATTTTGTTACTGCTTTGTACCTCAGTGCCGAGTAGGTGCTCCATATTTGTAAACTGAATCTACAGATATTGAGTGCCTGTAATGTGCTAGGCACCGTTTTTGTTCTAAATTGTTGGGGAAAGAGCGGCGAACAAGACAGTCTCTACCTTAGTTGAGGTTCTGTGCCTCGTCAAATCATATGGGTGACTTTGTGCAAATAACACTTTCTTAAGTGTCTCTTGTCCTCATCTGTAATATGGGAAGAACAGTAGTTGAAGGATTCACTGAGGTTAGGCAGTTAAAGCGCTTAGAATAGGACAGGGCCTTGCACACATTAAATGTTAGATATTATTAAATAAATACATAGGATCATTTTTGACAATGTAAGTGTAATAGAGGAAAAGAATGAGCTAAAGAGTGCCTGGGGGTTGGGAACAGGCCACTTTGTTAGTGTGGTCACTAAAAACTTAACTTTTTTTGGATAAAATTTCAAATTTACATATAAATTACAAGAATAGTAAAGAATCTCATATTTTTAACCATAATAATAATTTGTTATATTTTACTACATTTGCATTATCATATTCTCTCTTGTGTATTTGTTTGTGTATGTATTATATATAATATGTTTTTGTATTTTCTTTTCCCCCAAAACCACTTTACACTAAATTTCAGACATCATTCCCCTTTCATTCCTAAATATTTCTGTGTGTTCTTCCTAAGAACATGGATATTCTCTTGCAAAATCTCAGTACAATTATCAAAATCAAGAATTTTGACAATAATGCAATTCTTTAATATGTCTTCCATATTTAAATTTTGCTAATTGTCCCAATAATATAGCTATTTCCTATGATCCAGTCAGGATCACTTTGCATTTAGTTGTCATGACTCCAGAGTTTCCTTTACTCTAGAAAGGCAGTTAATTATTCAGCTTTTCTTTGTCCTTTATGACCTTAACTTTTTTTTTTTTTTTTTTTTTTTTGCGGTACACGGGCGTCTCACTGTTGTGGCCTCTCCCGTTGCGGAGCACAGCCTCCGGACGCGCAGGCTCAGCGGCCATGGCTCACGGGCCTAGCCGCTCCGCGGCATGTGGGATCTCCCCGGACCGGGGCACGAACCCGTGTCCCCTGCATCGGCAGGCGGACTCTAAACCACTGCGCCACCAGGGAAGCCCTGACCTTAACATTTTTGAAGAGTACTGGTGAGTTATTTTGTAGATGTCCCTAAGTTTAGATTTGTCTGGTATTTTCTCATGATTAGAATTAGGTTATGCATTTTTGGTAGGAATGGCACTGAAAGGAGTTGTGTCCTCAGTGTACCACATCAGGAGGCACATGGCATATTTTTATTCCAATACTGATGATGTTCACTTTGATCATTTGGTTAAGGTGGTGTCTGCCAAGGTACTACACTGAAAAGTTACTATTTTTCCCTTTGTAATTATTAAGTGTCTTGTGGGAAGATATTTTGAGACTACCCTGTTCTTCATCAGACTCTCACCCACTGGTTTTAGCATTCGTTTATGGTTCTTGCCTGAGTCAGTTACTCCCATGGTTACAAAATGCTGATTGAAAGGCCTCTGTATTAGTTTGCTAGGGCTGCCATAACAAAATACCACTGACTGGGTGGCTTAACGGAATTTATTTTCTCACAATTGTGGAGGCTAGAAGTCCAAGATCAGAGTGTTGGCAGGTTTGGTTTCTCCTGAGACCTCTGTCCTTAGTTTGTAGACGGCTGCCTTCTGGCTGTGTCCTCATAAGACATTTTCTCTGTGGGGATATCTTTTCCTCTTCTTATAAGGACACAGTCGTATTGGATTAGGGCCTACCCTAACTGGCTCATTTAACTTAATCACCCCTTTAAAGACTTTATCCCCAAATGTATTATTGATACATTCTAAGGTACTGGGGGTTGTGAATTCCACATATGATTTTGGCAATGGTGGGAAGGGGGGAATTAAGTCTATACCAGTCTATAACAACTAAATCTATAACAGTGACACAAGCTGAGACCTCAAGCCAGCCATGCTAAAACTAGTGGAAAGGCATTTCAGGCAGAGGGAGTAAGTACAGAAGCTGTCAGGAACATGACTGATGTCAAATTTAAGCCAATGGATGAGAATGTGAAATGGTACAACCACTTTGGAGAAAAAAGGTTTGGCGGTTTCTTATAAAGTTAAATATATATCTACCCTATAGCCCAGTAATTGCATGCCTAGGTATTTACCCAAGATAAATGAAAACCTGTGTTCACTAATACACTTGCATAAGGATGTTTATAGTGGCTTTTTCTATAAGTCCCAAACTGGAAAACACTCCAATGTTCATCAGTAAATGAAGGGATAACCAAATTGTGGTATTTTTGTACCAAGAAATGCTGTTCAGTGGGGGGAAAAAAAAAGGAATGAAGTATTGATACAACATGGATGAATCAAAATAATTATGCTAAGTGAAAGAAGTCAGGAACAAAAGGGTATATACTGGATGATTCTATATACAATTCTTGAAAATGCAAACGAATTTATGGTGACAGAAAGCAGATTAGTAGTTGGGGTGGGGGAGAGGGGATGGAATACAAAGGGACTTGAGAAACTTTTTGAGGGGATGGATATGTTCGTTATCTTGAAATTACCTTGTGATACTTTCAAGGGGGGAATATGTTCAAAACACTTCAGAGTGTACACTGTACACTTTAAATAAGTGCAGTTTTTGTACATCATTTTTGCAGCGTTACCTCAATAAAGTTGTAAAAAAAATGGGGAAAAAGAGTACATACTATTTGATTCCATTAATGTAAAGGCAAGCTACACTGATCTGTGGCTGCAGAAATCATATCAGTGGTCACCTTTGGGTGGGAATTACTGCTAAGGAGCAGTAATGCATACCAACTAGAAGAACATTCCATGTCAGGGGGAAGAGCAGGTGCAAAGGCCCTGAGATGTAGCACCCAAAGCGGCCAGTGTGACTGCAGCGCAGGGAATAGGGAAGAGTAGTGGAAGCAGAATGGTGATGCTCCCTTCCCATCCCCACTACTTCAGTGGGTAAGAACGCCCAAGGGGCAGCTGGCCCTGAGGTGGGGGGAGGGGTTCTCTGGGAAAGCAGTAGGCTCTGGGCTGGGAAGGAAAGGTTGGGTGAGTGGAGGAGTGTGGAAGGGATGGAAGCTGGGAGAAGGCTGAGACTGCTCCAGTGGGCTGGGTCAGAGGGTAGTGGGAATGAGGAGGGGGCTTGGGAGTTGAGGGTTGGGGGCTGGAGGTGGCACCGGGCCCTGGCAGAGAATCGTCTGAAATGGCGGTTGTAGCAGGGGAGCTGAGGATGGGAAGGGGTTAAGGGGAGAGAAGCTGATATGGGGTATGGGAGGGGGACCTCAGAGGGGCTGTGGATGTTCTGAAGGATGGAAGCTTGAGGTGGGTGCCTCAGTGGAGGGTGTACTCTGAGTGGGGGACGCTGGGGAGGGCTGTGGGGAGGCTATGCCATTGGCTTGAACTCCCCTCGCATGATAGAACTGGATTTCAGAGGCTCCAGGAGGGCTGTCCGCAAGAAAAACTGGAGCCTGTCATGCTTCCTAACAGCCCAAAGCTCACAACAATTACAGGGAGATACGGTTGACCCCATTTTATGAATGGGAAGATTGAACTTGGAAGCTGTCACATTACAAGCAAGTGGAATTGCTGAAATCTGATCCCCAGCAGCCTTGGGTTTTGGTGCCCAAACTCTTAACTTTTACACAAACCGCGGTTCTCCAGCTCAAGTGCACCTCAGCATCACCTAGATTGCTGGACCCCACCCCCAGAGCGGCTAACCAGTAAGTCCTGGGTAGGGCTTGATTATTTTCATGCCTCACTAGGTCCCAGGTGATGCTGATGCTAACGTTGTTGGTCTGGGAAGCACACTTTGAGAACCACTGCATTACACTATACTGCCCCTAGACTGAGCACAAAGCTGAGGCAATTGTAGAGGATTGGAGTTCTGGCAAAGAATTTGAGGATGGATTGGAGCTACTCACAGAAAACTAAGCAAATAAGCCAAGGTGATTATTAAAGCCAAGAAAACAAAGACAATTTGTAAGAAGAACATTGTAATCATCATAAACTACAACACTCAGCTGGAAATAATATTACACTGTCATTATAATGTAAGAACAGTACATTGATTTAACCAGAAATTATGATATAATTATTTTGGGAAAATTGGAGCAGGAGGGTATGTGTGTGAGTGTGTGTGTGTGTGTGTGTGTGTGTGTGTGTGTGTGAGAGAGAGAGAGAGAGAGAGAGAGGGAGGGAGAGACTAAATTTTTATTCTCCATAGCTGTAAGTTAATAGAAAAGGTCTAAAATTTGAAAATCTTGAAGTGGCACCATAGTCAGGTATAAAGAAGTAAACATAGAATGAGTTATTGCTTCATGGGATGGGACTTAGTGGTGAGAAAGGGGATTTTTGTTATAAGCCTTGTAATAGTATCTAACTCGTAGTAGTAATTAACTCTTAAACATTATGTATATTTATTACTTGGATTGAAATTGAAATTAAAAATAAGAGTGGGTGTGGGCTTTGGCCACCACTGAAACAGCCTGTCAGCTTGGTGGCGCTGTTCAGCTTCTGGCCATGAGGTGCTCCTCTTGTCCTTGAATCGCCTAGAAGCGATTAACAAGTAGTTAAGTACCCAAATCACACCCTGGGGACACCACACTAGAGGTATTGCACCCACTGAGACTCAACAGAGAGGGCCTCTTGTTATTTAACAAGGGTCTGAGTCACAGAAAACAAAGATGGAAGCAGATACAGCCACCCTGTTTCCCGAACTTAACGGATTGTTCTCATTTCACATGTTCTTCCCATCAGCCACTTCAGGGCTCCGAAATTCCAACCTTTCCTCCTCTCCCTTCT